TTCGTGACCACTTCTTCCCATCAATCTTTCCTGAACCACTACAGCGACTATGAGAGCCATTTCATATGTTCATACATTGTATCATACATACTTGCCATTTTTGAAATAAATAATATTATCCCTAATCTATGGAGCACCGGTGGCACCAAACTGGTCCCTCCGGAGCAGGTAGTGTAGTCCACCTCAAGAATAACGTGGGCGCATGTGTGTGTGGACATCAAATTGTTGTCCGATCGCAAAAGCAAAGTTGAGCATATGATGTTGCTGAGCGTGATTAGTGACCCAGCGGTGCGTGAAGTACTTTATTGTGTAAGCAATTATGATCTTATGGTGCTGAAAAAGCGTTTGAAGAATTTGCATGATTATATGCGAACCTTTGCTACCAGTGCGTGTACGGGTTTGGACCTTGAGGTCTCTACTAGTGAACTAAATAAAGAAGGCATTGTTTTATGTGCGTTAATGGCAGCCAAGTATATGAATACGAAGCTGGCATATGCAGTATCTCATGTGATGCCTAACGGACCGTACAACCAACATGCAAACAGCGTGGTAGGGTGACCTAATAGTCTACACCCAGGCTCGACCAGCCGCATTTGGGGAAATCCCCTATGCAAAACAACAATCTACGGTTGCCACAACCCGACATACTACTCCCACGAGAGGGACGAGATCATCATATAGTCTCTCATGAGAGTGCGCATACACCCCTAATTGATCCCACGATCGCCAGCAGCAGTACAATGTAGTACGTGTAACTTGCGGCATAAAAGCTTCAGCTGTCCTGAATTCCATATGTGCTGCCAGACGGGTAACTGGTGTCGGAATGCCCTGCTCTATTTACAATGACACTAGAGCGCACCCAGTGATGACATGTCGACATTTTGGAGAGCGTTACCGTTTTCCACTCAAGGATATTGAACCCATACATATTCCCGGTTATGGGGGGGCGGCGGAACGACGTCATAGCTTTGACACAGAGTACTGGAGTCACCTTGTGGTTGGAGGTGATAGATTCGAAAGGCATGGATACGTATTACGAAACCTACTCGATGATTTTTCTTATGGCACCGTGGATCCCGCATGTTCGCGAGATTATGTTGGGTCTGGAATATACGAAGATAATACTGTTTAGTTCTACATGGGATACTTCTACGGACCCGCCTTTGTCCTGTTTGCAGCTTTTTCCTATACAAGGTGTGCACCTTTTTGGCCTATAGATCTCCAGGAATTATATATCGTCTTGAGGATACTAAGCGGTATATATTTTGGCCGGATAGGACCGTTGCAAATGATGAGTACAATCTTCTTGGTTTGGAGTACATGGCGCGTATGTGTAATTTTACGATCCATCAGTTGAACGAGCTAGGAGGTATGCCCAATCAGGTTCGTTAGGATAGCAA